CTACACGAAAGCACCTGTAGGATTGCCAAATTACTCAACGAGCTATGGCGCTATCCAATTCTAATACTAATGGCCTATGGCTTTGTAGTTATCACGTCACAACTCTATTTTACCTATTGTGCCACGCAATCGCAGGTGGGTACCTGGTGGGCTGACGATGTAAAAATCTTTTATTAACTATATACCGAGCCCTAACCGCCACAATAACGTAAGCGACATTTTTTTCAAAATTTTCTTTTTGATGCAGAAATGTATCTAGATGCTCTAGGAATATTTCTGCATCAAAAAGAAAATTTTGAAAAAAAATGTCGCTTACGTTATTTTGGCGGTTAGGGCTCGATACAATTAAAAATTTTAATTTTTTTTTAATCCCCCACCCAGCCGATTCCAGTCATTTTTCGTTCTGCTGAACAATTAGTCATAACGGCGTTGTCACTCATCTACCTCGGCGGTAAATGTACATCGTTGATGTTTTTCAGTTGGAAAACTTCGCAGGCTTCGCGCCGCACCGGTATTTGTCTGCACAAATGTGGTGTTGCTGCCGACACAAATGAAGTTTATGAAATTGTTAGTATCACTTGCTTTATGTTACTACATATCCTTACTACATATCTTGCCTTTAAGCGTATTCAATTGGCTTTAATGTTTTCGGTTTTTATTACAACATTCATACAATTTCAGGTCAATCATTTGTCGCTGAAGCTCTTCAATCACGCCGTAAACTTTTCCGCTTGTGGTTTTTTTACACTGGATATGGGCACTTTATATGCGGTACGTGCCTCGCTGTAACGTTCTTTATCTGCTTCCATATTTTCTAGATTTTACTGTCACAGCGTTAGTGGCTTGTAGCAAGAGTATTTTTTATTTTTTTATTTATCTTTTCACGCATATTTTTATAGGTTTGTGGCGCCATAACTAGTTATTTGATTATACTCATACAGTTCAATTTGGCTGGGCAACAAGTGAAGATCAAAAAAGAATTGGCTGCTTCAAATGAAACGGCATTGATGGTATTGGATGCAGAAAATTATACCGTTACGCCAACTGAGTCAACTACGCATTGGGACTAGAAGTGAGAGAGGTGTTCGTATGTCGTATGCGAGTATATATCTACAGTCAATAAACAAGAAATATAAAAAAAAAAACTGTTTAAAATATGCTTTTGTTTGTGGTTAATACAAAAAAAAGAAGAAAATTCTGCATCCGCGCCACCTAACGGCTAAATATTGATTGAAGTTAAGTATTTATTTCCATTTACCATAAATATTGGTTTTTTAAATATCTCGACACATGCGCCACTGCTACTACTGCGACTGTAGTAGAGTCGCGAGGTACCACGTATTTTTTACCATGCCCGTCTACCACAGTTCTGGGCTGGCAGTGATGTCAGCGTTAGTCCTCTTAATGATATGAACCAGCTACGTGGTGCTGCCTCAGGGATGAACCACGATTAAAAGGCTTCACCTATCTAAACAGGTTTAAAAGGCAGAGTTTTTTTTTAAGCAAAAGTGATGCACCACCAGAACCATTTCTTTCAGGAAAAAAGCTAAGCATCTTTCAGTTAAGAGAAAATAAGCGAAATAGGTTGGTCTAGCGGTAAATGAGGACAGGTCAGACTACCACCTGACATCATATAAAAAGTCAGTGTTGCCAGTTATAACTTTGAAATAGTGACAGCCTTTGTGTACTTAGAATCCAGGAATGTCAGCCCGGAAACTAATCGAAGAATGACTTTTACCAACATGTGCTCCTTTCTCAATGAACAAAAATTACGCTCTACAAATCAATCACAATGTTCGCCCTTCTATCTGGCACAGACGTCGTTGAGAGATAAAGAGACTTTGGGAGTTTTCGAGAGAACTATTCAGGCCCTGTTCGCGTGGGCGACTTGTACCGAAAAAGATGGAAAGACAAACTGCACCGATTGCGCTGGTTTTTGCATGCCGTATGTATGGATGACGAGGCTCCAGTGAAAATATCCTTCGACTTGTCACACATGTTTTGGCAACGAAAAAAGGGCCCCATAAGCAAAATAGAAGGGACAAGTGCAGAAGGGCCTGGTTGTATTCGGTGAGTACAATTGGCGCAACTTCACAATGGAGAGGGACAATTGGCGAAGTTTTGTGGCCCCGAGGCTAGCATAAAAAACTATGTACTTATGCTAAACAATTTTTCAGCATCACGAAAATTACTTTAAAGTGATGCACAAGCTGTAGAACATTTTCGGTATTTTCCATCCCGGTCGCAGCATTTGGTACGATCCTATAACATCAATTCCTCGATAATGTAGTAGTACAAACTTAAATAGGAAAATCTTTTCGGAGAAGAAACTATAGTTTTTTTTTTTAATTCGTTCAACCCGATTCCTTGAGTAGAGAAAGCAAATTCCCTTCATTAATTTTACTTGCATTTAAATGGTGGTTATCTTATTGCGAAAATAGCTAAGCGAAATTTAGCTCTAGGCTGCCACGTTAGGCACTTATGAAATTATTGTGGTACATTCAAATATTAATCTTCACTCGATCAAAGAGTATTTACAGTACATAAATTTGTATTTGCTTCAAATCATTAGTGGTTTGCTTATGTCGTGTTTACCACCAAAATCACCGATAATAACAGGCGTCCAAAAATGCATTACACATCTACCTACAAACAGATTAAACCGCACGCAAACAAACTCCTTAGAGTTTGTCATGCAAATATCTATGCGTCAAGGCCTAAAACGATATGTGCATTAGGGTGCTTGCCTTTTGATTATTTTCAGTTAATCAATTATCCTTAACCAACAGAATAATACAACTAAATCCTGCTCTGTTAAACGAATTCCTGGTAAGCCAATAAAGTTGTTGCGCATGCAGATGATTTATGTAGTCATTGTGGTCGCCTCTCGACTGGTATTGGGAATTTACAATCTGCAATTAAGATCTGGTATGGTGATTATTACCTCCAGGCGATATATGATAGGAAAATTTCGAACTCCGTCACTAGATATCGCCAATATTAAACTGGCAAAAGATGCTTATTTTCAAGTGATTCTTAGTGGGCATTGTTCAGTTGGCACCCACGCGAGAAATGTGGGTATAAAGGCAAAAACGAAAAATAACAGAAAATAGAATTAACTGCCTCGAGAAATTGTGTAACTCTGGCCCAGTGAATGTCTGGATACTGTAACAGGGTAAATTTTTACTTATTCACGCTCTATACCAAAATACGCCATACCTTCATATGACACCAACCCCCTCCACACTTGCTTCCAATAACCCCCCACAGCTAACAGCCATTCTTCTTTTGTCCAGCCCCGTCGAAACAGCATTTATCCTGAGTCGACAGTCTGTTGAGCTTGGCGACTAAGATTTCTAGGCAGAGCTTAGTAGTACCTGTACAACAACAATAAATGTAAATGCATCGAAGACCATGGAATAGGATTTCGGGTGGCCGGAAAACTCAATAAAAATAATTTTTCAAGCACTGAGTCAGTATTACCCATTGTACATAAGGCCTAGAGACTGAATTTGGAGGAAAGGGTTATATAGGTGGGGTGGAATTCAGTGCTTCTACGTAAACTTACCAGATTCCTTTATGAATCTTTGCAGACTCCTAAGGGAAAGAGAATGTATCTCGTTCATTGTCAATACATCCGGCCCAAAAAAAGTAGAATCTAAATCTGACAAAGGAAGGACCGCGGCAGAGAAAATGTTTTATTCTGTCCCTTCCCCCAAACAAGGTGTACGCAGTGATCATAATTCGTCTCCGTAACCAGTCCTAATTTGGCTCGTAGATGAATCCGTCTTCGGCTGAGAAGGAATTTTGCTACTACCCTGTCAGGCTTTTTGAGGAAAACAGATTGTTATGCAGGTGTCAATACCACGCCAACGGCTGTAATGATATTTATTTATAAGATATACCTCGTTCCTATTATGCTTGACCCTAGAATTCGCACCGATCCAATTGGATGCTCCAGAGAACTATCTACCTTGTAACGGAGTCCAGACTCAACTTACATTCCGGTACAATTTTTAAAGAGGTGCGAGCGGCTGTCAGCTTGACTGTCACTGCAGATTCTGATTTTATGTCCGCGCCACCTTTCCACAGTTATAAAGTCTGTAACTTTCAGTTGTGCCATTGCACCCAAAGCAGTAAAGCATCTGAAGTTATCATCCAGATCCCATACAGCTTCTGTACCATTTTGAATATTTGAGGTATCGATGGTTTTCTCCAAACTTCTGGCTCTCTCTATTGCTCCCCTGTAAGAAATCTAACGACGTACTTTCTTCGAAAGGAGACTCCAGGTATCAGTTTGTCATTAGGTGCCTAAAGCAAAGGTTATTGCGAGGACAACCTTCTAAACAAATCTCTGTGCCCAGACCTCCGATCGTCGTGCCACAGACCACAAGAGTTCAGTAGACACATCGTTTTCATTGTCTCCTCTTAGATCGCACATCCAGAGGTAGCAAATCCAATAAACCAATAAGAGCCGGTCCTGGCGTTGTACACGCATATTGGGATTTCTCAGAAAAAAAATCACTCCTTATGTGCTGGCCCACCCTAGCGTACATACGTAGCATATAGTACGTACTTACAGGCTCATTTGACTGGCTTTTCTGTTTGACAGCGGTTTGACAGATTTCTAAGTGCATAATTAATTAAATTTTCGCATTGCATAATTGTAAATTCAAATGCAAATGCATTGCGCTAGTGTAAATTGAAAATAATTAAAATGCCAATTAAAAAATTTTACCAAATACATTCTTAGAGAGCTCTAATTTTTATGGTTGCACATTAACAAAGCTATCGAGCTCACAGCTGTGCAAGGGAGTGAAGAAAAAAACAATTTTAAAATATGGTATTTTATAACCAGCAGTTTTCAGTATAATTTGCTGTTCACCATCAAAGCGTATGCAAGTCTCGTGTTCGAGCCAGGCGATCATCAGCAACAAAAAATGCTAATTACACAAGCAATCATCATCACCAACACCACGTTGGCTGCCAACATCATTAGCTCGGCAATGTACGCAGCATTTGGGGCATGAGAGAGTGCCGCAACAGCAGCAATCGCAGCAGACGTTGCAAGCGCGAAGTAAGCTGCTGCCCGTGTGGGGGCGATAGATAGGGTTGACTGGGTCAGGCTGGCAGTCGAAAATGGCAAACGCAAGTTGCCATGAAATATTGTATGGCTTTGGCATTGATGGCCTAGGCTGCGGGTGATGCTTGCTTGGCTGTGCTGTTGCTGCTGCTGCAACTGACTGGCACCCCAACTCGCTATTCTTCGCATTTTGCTCGCAATCAGCCATTTGCAGGAATGATGCAAAATTGCAAATATATATATATTTTTTTTCAGCCGCGCTTATTTGAATGGTTTTGTTTAGTTTTGGTATTTTTTTTTTGAGTCGCGCAGTTATATATAAAAATTTATATATAAAAAACGACTCGCGAAGGCCTACAAATGGGCTGCAAAAAAATTAATGTTGCACCGGTGTTGAAAAGAATTGGCGGTCGAATGAATTGCTATGTTGCCTGTGGCTTAAAAGTTGTTAAAAAATAAATAAAAGGTATGTACTATACGTATCCATAAAAAATTTCAGCAAAGCGGTTTGGTCAACTCGGCCGCCACTATCGTAGAATCTGTAGGCTGCTAGTGATTGCCACTATGGTTTTGCATTTGAACAAAGTATATTACAGTACAGTCAAATTAGGAAAAGTTGAAGATTTCTTTGCAAGGTAGTTAAATTATTAATTTCCATACTCAGCGACTAAACTCATGGAATGTAAAACTTGTTTAATGCCCTGCTAGCAGAGAAACATCCGGTATGTCGTTTTCTTATCCGAAATTATGTATTTGTTCATGCGTGTTACTATTTGTTAGCTTTTAGAAAATTCCGGGTTACAATACCGTCAGACGCAATAAAATGATTCGCAATTGTTTTTGTTTTTTTCTTTTCCGAACTATGAAAAAGCATCTGTGAAGTGCAGAAGGAAAACTTTTGGAAGAACATCGGAAAACGCAATGGTATCACAACCATTTTCGGTAGTTTTCTAAATGTACTTTAGTCGGAAAACGGACCGTCGAAGT